GGGCTGGCTATCGGACGCCGGTTGACATCGCCAGTGGAAAAAAATGTGAGATCTTCAACTCCGTGTATAAGACGACCCCCCTTCTTACCCCCTCATTTTAGGTACGAAAAACTCGCCTTATACACAGCGATATACGGTACTGATTTTAAACGCTGGAAAAAAGGATGTAAAGCTTTACGAGAACTTAGCATACACACTTGGATGGAGAGGAGAAATAACAGTACTCAAGACATCAGATCAGGGACTCGATTTACCTGATTTAGTTCCCTATAAAGAGTTGTGCATCCATCTTGATCAGATCAGTACGACGGATAATATTCAACAAGAAAGTCCTTCAACTCTACTCAGATGTGTTCCAGTTAAGGATGAAAAATACAATAGTGGTAGAACGGAATCTTTCTCAACATTACAATATAAAAAATTAAAGAGGGGTATTATTTCAAACCTCAAAATTTCTATATTAGATGTAAAACACCAACCTGTACATATAGGATACTTAAGTGTAACACTCCATATTAAAAATAATGGTTGATTCCATATTTAAGTTATGATATAGTATCATTGTATATTTGATATGTATGTTACACTCCTGGGAATAACAAATGGTCAGTCTATTCAACTGCTTCGTACTATCGTTAAATGGGATGGTCACCTTGAAGTCGCTCTATGCGATGTAACGTATTACCCACGGTGGGCCAATATAAATGCTGCAAAAAATAATAATAGGATGTGGTTATTAAATCCATCTGGTACTGGCAAATCCATTACTATACCTGATGGGTATTACAGCGTAAGCTCACTCAATGATGACATTTTTAAGCCTAATGGAGCTAGTCTCACACAAAATGAGGCGACTGGGACAGTGAAATTAGACACTGGAAATCCAAATATATTTTTATTGGAACAATCAGCTACATGGGAATTTAGTCGCTTAATTGGCATACATCTGGATGTTAAATTACCCGATTTAGTTCCCTATAAAGAGTTGTGCATCCATCTTGATCAAATAAGCACGACAGATAATATTCAACTAGAAAGTCCTTTAACTCTACTCAGATGTGTTCCAGTGAAAAATGAAAAATATAATAGCGGTAGAACAGAATCTTTCTCATCATTACAATATAAAAAATTGAAGCATGGTATTATTTCAGACCTCAAAATTTCTGTATTAGATGTAAAACACCAACCAGTACATATAGGATACTTAAGTGTAACACTCCATATTAAAAATAATGGTTGATGCATCAGGCCCAGGAACACTCAGACAATGTAATACAATTGCGCTTTCCGATCTCAGAGACACAGAAGGATTCGATAAACCCGGTACCGATGGTAAGTTATACGCTTTACACTTACACGATAATGTATACAAGTGGAAAGAAGTTACATTCACAGGTAATCTAGAAGATTTAAGCGATGTCGACGTTAGTAGACTCATTAAAAACACTTCGTACAATATTATTGGCAACAACGATAATAAATGGACTATGGTCAACGCAAACATCGAGTGGCTACTGAATATCGTCATTACCCCACCTTATGTAATGATGGGTAAGGGACATAATTTAACTAAGATAATAAATAGTGGCATCGTACTCGCGGCTTATATCCCGTCAAAACGAAAAAGTGTGTTAGTCACCCCCCTGCCAGAAAACCCAGGTCATATGTTATATAGTCGTCCGGCCTTAAAAAATGTTACTTTAAATTTGGTTACTGAATTCGATGATATTAAACAGAACTTGAGTGCAATACCTAATATTTCTACGCTTATTATTGAAGTCTTGTTCGGAGATGTACCGGTAGATGCCTTTGAAATATTACCAGGTCTATCGATTAAATTGCTCAAGAAACACGAACGTCAACGTTGTAGTATTATTCATATCGGAGCATCGCCCGTTGCAACCCTCGAGGGGGTTCAAATTATTAAAAGTGGTAGTATTTCTCTTTCTAAGATATTCTTGCCGTATAATATACATTTGATAAGATTGATGTATACTCTCTAAACATTTAAGCAAGACCAATTAAAGACTATTATATGATCGTAATATACACTATGAGTTTATATCCGGCGCTCGATGAAGCAATTGAAAAGATGGAAACTGTTGATGGATTTCGATTACATCAAATAAGCGACATAAAACATCGAATAGAGAAGGATAGGGAGCTGAGACTTGGATTGTATAAAAAGTATCGCAGAGCCTTGAATGCTCTGGACGGAGTTGACACCGCGCTTGTAGCAGCTGGCATGGGACTCGGTGTAGCAGGTGTTGGTTTATTATCCCCCGCCGCGCGAAAGCGCGAAGCGGGGGATATAGTATTCACGACCGTCCGTCCGTACGTCCGTACGTCCCGTACGTCCGTACGTACGTACGTACGTCCCACCTGTTTGTTGCCGCGATATCTCAAGAACTAAACACTGGATTGTCTTCATATTTGGAACTATGGTGTATATACAGACTCCGCAGACACCAGTCGGTTTTGGTGACCTTGACCCCATTTTCAAGGTCACAGCAGGCATATCTGCTTTTGGAGTTGGAAAACGGTGTTGCCGCGATATCTCAAGAACTAAACACTGGATTGTCTTCATATTTGGAACTATGGTGTATATACAGACTCCGCAGACACCAGTCGGTTTTGGTGACCTTGACCCCATTGTCAAGGTCACAGCAGACAAATCTGCTTTTGGAGTTGGAAAACGGTGTTGCCGCGATATCTCAAGAACTAAACACTGGATTGTCTTCATATTTGGAACTATGGTGTATATACAGACACCGCAGACACCAGTCGGTTTTGGTGACCTTGACCCCATTGTCAAGGTCACAGCAGGCAAATCTGCTTTTGGAGTTAGAAAACGGTGTTGCCGCGATATCTCAAGAACTAATCGCTGGATTGTCTTCATATTTGGTACTATGGTGTACAGGCGGGGGATATTTCGTCACTCTGTGACAAATACTTGTTATCAACTATAATCGCCGCGCCTATCGTGCTCGGCATGGAAATAGCCGCTGGAGTCTCGGGACTGGCAGGAATAGCGATAAAATTCATTTCTCGTAGGTTACAAAAGAAAGCATTAAAACATGATAGTATTCAGATACTCGCCGAAGCAAAGTTGAACAGCATTGAGGATCATATTTCGACAGCAATGGTCGATTGTAAGATATCCGAGGATGAGTTTCGTTTAGTGCTGTCAGAACTCACCAAATACAACGAAATGAAGCAGAAGATTCGATCAAAATCTCGTAAGACCAGTGGTATTAGCGAAGACGAGAAAAAAAAGTTCATAGAACCGGGGAGGCAACAAGCGCGTCAATTATTCCATGCCAAAACCAAGAACTGGTTGGAGATTAAAAATAGATTGCTTACTATCGTTTGATCACATTTAGACAAATGCTTACATAAATATATATAATAATGGAGATCGAAAAAGCTATTAAATGGAGAGAATTACCACAAGGTTTTTATTATATCAGTGATGTCAAACCAACCAAATACGGTTATCAATTGTTTATTATCAATTTACAAGAAGAGTGTAGTTATATAGTCTGGTCTCCTAGTAAAATGAACGAAGAACTTAGTAAAAATGTTGAATTTCGCTTTATCGATAAAAATAATGAAGAATATTTTTATTACCATTTAGGCTCATCTAAAGCAATGATTGGCCCCAGGTATTGGTGAGCTAGAGCCAATTTAACTTAATCTCATGACTATCATTGAATCGCATCATCATTTTTGCATAAAAAATTCCACCTGTAGTAGCAGTATAGGTATATGAATCCGGCTCCAGTGGAAGTGGTCCAGAACCCCCATTACCTATACTACTGGGTATAAAAATGTGTAAAGATCTACTTCTGCAGAGCCACAGGGTATTATAATGTGTAAAGACCTACTTCTGCAGAGCCACAGGGTATAATAATGTATAAAGACCTACTTCTGCCAAGCTACAGGGAATAATAATGTGTAAAGATCTACTTCTGCAGAGCTACAGGGTATAATGATGTGTGAAGACCTACTTCTGCAGAGCTACAGGGTATAATAATGTGTAAAGACCTACTTCTGCAGAGCTACAGGGTATAATAATGTGTAAAGATCTACTTCTGCAGAGCTACAGGGTATAATAATGTATAAAGACCTACTTCTGCCAAGCTACAGGGTATACTAATGTGTAAAGACCTACTTCTGAAGAACTACAGGGTAAAATAGTGTGTAAAGAACTACTTTTGCAGAGCCACAGGGTATTATAATGTGTAAAGACATACTTCTGCAGAGCTACAGGGTATAATAATGTATAAGGACCTACTTCTGCAGAGCTACAGGGTATAATAATGTGTAAAGACCTACTTCTGCAGAGCTACAGGGTATTATAATGTGTAAAGACCTACTTCTGCAGAACTACAGGGTATAATAATGTGTAAAGACCTACTTCTGCAGCGCTACAGGGTATAATAATGTGTAAAGACCTACTTCTGCAGAGCTACAGGGTATAATAATGTGTAAAGACATACCTCTGCAGAGCCACAGGGTATTATAATAAGTAAAGAGCTAGTTATGCAGAGCTGCAGGGTATAATAATGTGTAAAGACCTACCTCTGCAGAGCTACAGGGTATAATAATGTGTAAAGACCTGCTTCTGCAGAGCTACAGGGCATAAAGTATACAGAAAACATTTGTCATTTGATTTTACATTATTTCATACATTTCCATGTTTACATTGTGTTCAAATGCAAATAAACTTCAAGTGTGGGACACTCACATGTTAAATCCCTGTGACAAAAGTATAAAATACCTGGGATATTATATAACATCCCTGTTTATGAGATTTAACCTGATTAGAGAACAATAGGATGACATCACTGTATGTTCATAAACTGTGTAAAGACCTACTTCTGCATGTACAGGTTATTCTCTTCAAAATCAAATCTGTTGCTCCAATAAGATGTCTTGGCTCGAAGATCTCCTTCCATGTTATTCCTGATGTCTACAAATATTGTCTCTGTTTCCAGATACGTATGTGAAGCCTTGCAATGAGGACAACAGCACAGACATCTGTGAAGCTTGTCCACAAGGCTATACCCTGGCATATGGATCTTCATCGTTCAATCCCAGGAAATGCTATCAAGAACCCGACAATATGCCGGCTCAGGATGGTAGGCTGTGTGGCCTGTAGCCAATCTAATTTGGCTTCAAATACTTGTGTTCAAGTTCTCTAGCATCTCTGCTTTTCTCTGCAATTGAATAAACTTAAAACATATAACGTGAAGACAAAACTCTGATAAGACGGAAAGTACATTTTTAGAGTTTGTTATATTTGTGTGGGATTTTAACCAATGTCTGTTGTTAATTTGAAAAGGAATTCACATGAGTTTGATCCTTGGTTAGCCACCATAGTTATGCATGTAGATTTCAGTACTGTGACCTGGTGACACCTGTGATCTTCAAACAACAGCTGTGACCTACCCATCACACCTGTGACCTACCCATCACACCTGTGACCTTCCCACAACAGCTGTGACCTACCCATCACACCTGTGACCTGCCCACCACACCTGTGACCTACCCACCACACCTGTGACCTACCCACCACATCTGTGACCTACCCACCACATCTGTGACCCACCCACCACACCTGTGACCTGCCCACCACACCTGTGACCTACCCACCACACCTGTGACCTACCCACCACATCTGTGACCTACCCATCACACCTGTGACCTACCCACCACACCTGTGACCTGTGACACCTGTGACCTGCCCACCACACCTGTGACCTTCCCACCACATCTGTGACCTACCCACCACACCTGTGACCTGCCCACCACACCTGTGACCTGCCCACCACATCTGTGACCTACCCACCACACCTGTGACCTACCCACCAGACCTGTGACCTACCCACCACACCTGTGACCTGCCCACCACACCTGTGACCAGTGACACCTGTGACCTGCCCACCACACCTGTGACCTACCCACCACATCTGTGACCTGCCCACCACACCTGTGACCTGCCCACCACATCTGTGACCTACCCACCACATCTGTGACCTACCCACCACACCTGTGACCACCACACCTGTGACCTGCCCACCACACCTGTGACCTACCCACCACATCTGTGACCTGCCCACCATACCTGTGACCTGCCCACCACATCTGTGACCTACCCACCACATCTGTGACCTACTCACCACACCTGTGACCTACTCACCACACCTGTGACCTACTCACCACACCTGTGACCTACCCACCACACGTGTGACCTACCCACTATATCTGTGACCTACCCACCACGTCTGTGACCTACTCACCACACCTGTGACCTTCCCACCACACCTGTGACCTACCCACCACATCTGTGACCTACCCACTACATCTGTGACCTACCCACCACATCTGTGACCTACCCTACAGACCTGTGACCTACCCACCACAACTGTGACCTGCCCACCACACCTGTGATCTGCCCACCACAACTGTGACCAGTGACACCTGTGACCTGCCCACCACACCTGTGACCTACCCACCACACCTATGACCTGCCCACCACACCTGTGACCTGCCCACCACACCTGTGACCTGCCCATCACACCTATGACCTGCCCACCACACCTGTGACCTGCCCACCACACCTGTGACCTGCCCATCACACCTGTGACCTGCCCACCAAACCTGTGACCTGCCCACCACACCTGTGACCTGCCCACAACACCTATGACCTACCCACCACACCTGTGACCTGCCCACCACATCTGTGACCTACCCATCACACCTGTGACCTGCCCACCACACCTGTGGTCTGCCCACCACACCTGTGACCTGCCCACCAAACCTGTGACCATTGACACCTGTGACCTGCCCACCACACCTGTGACCTGCCCACCACATCTGTGACCTACCCACCAGACCTGTGACCTACCCACCACACCTGTGACCTGCCCACCACACCTGTGACCTGCCCACAACACCTATGACCTACCCACCACACCTGTGACCTGCCCACCACACCTGTGACCTGCCCACCACACCTGTGACCTACCCACCACACCTGTGACCTGGTGACCCCTGTGACCTGACCACCACACCTGTGACCTGCCAGACACACCTGTGACCTGCCCACCACACCTGTGAACTACCCTCCAGACCTGTGACGTACCCACCACATCTGTGACCTACCCACTACACCTGTGACCTGGTGACCCGTGACCTGACCACCACACCTGTGACCTGCCCACCACACCTGTGACCTACCCACCACACCTGTGACCTGCCCGACACACCTGTGACCTACTCACCACATCTGTGACCTACCCACTACACCTGTGACCTGCCCACCACACCTGTGACCAGTGACACCTGTGACCTGCCCACCACACCTATGACCTACCCACCACACCTGTGACCAGTGACACCTGTGACCTGACAACCACACCTGTGACCTGCCCGACACACCTGTGTCCTGCCCACCACACCTGTGTCCTACCCACAACATCTGTGTCCTGACCACCACACCTGTGACCTGCCCACCACACCTGTGACCTGCCCACCACATCTGTGACCTGCCCACCACATCTGTGTCCTGACCACCACACCTGTGACCTGCCCGACACACCTGTGTCCTACCCACCACATCTGTGTCCTGACCACCACACCTGTGACCTGCCCACCACACCTGTGACCTGCCCACCACATCTGTGACCTACCCACCACACCTGTGACCTACCCACCACACCTGTGACCTACCCACCACACCTGTGACCTACCCACCACATCTGTGACCTGCCCACCACACCTGTGACCTACTCACCACACCTGTGACCTGCCCACCATATCTGTGACCTACCCACCACATCTGTGTCCTACCCACAACATCTGTGTCCTACCCACAACACCTGTGACCTACCCACCACACCTGTGACCTGGTGACCTCTTGGACCTGCCCACCACACCTGTGACCTGCCCACCACATCCCAATTGCGTGGATCGATGCTCATGATATTAATCACTGGATTGTCTTGTCCAGACTCGATTATTTACTGACCGCCGTCATATCGCTGGAATATTGCTGAGTGCCGCATTAAACAACAAACCAACCAACCAACCAACCAAGCTTATTTCTAAGGTGCTACATCCTGTCATAGAAATCCTGCAACAGAATGGGAAACATTACAGTTTGTTTTACTCTTGCAGAAGTGGTGGCAGTCAGTGCAACAACATTTGAGTGTAATCGCACAGTTGGCTTCATCCGGCACCTAAGTGAATCCACACCTAAACTTGGGAGGATAGATTGCCAGTTAAGGAGCACTGTTTGTGGCCAGGGGAAGGAGCCATTAGCTGGTAAGAACTCCACAATGTCAGTACAGATGTCAAGTGAGCTTACAGCAAGTAACGAAGAAACTTGTGTGAACAACTTAAAGTCACATCTTTAATGCTATATTTCAACCAGAGTGGATAATTCAGTGTTTTTTTGTAAATATGTAAACATGTGTTTCCAAACCCTCAGATGAAATGTGCTGTTCCCACAATGGATAAACTGTGTTAATGTCTCTTCAAGTGATCAGACTAAAAAAACCCAAATAAATCACATGGGAACAACACGGTAATTCTCCATAGCCACAATGGTTCATTAGGGTGCCGCAATCCTGGTTCACTCTGTATATGTTTATGTGACACCTGTGACCAGCCTACCACACCTGTGACTGTGGGTTGGAATCCTGGTTCACTCTGTATATGTTTATGTGACACCTGTGACCTACCTACCACACCTGTGACCTACCTACCACACCTGTGACCTACCTACCACACCTGTGACCGTGGGTTGGAATCCTGGTTCATTCTGTATATGTTTATGTGACACCTGTGATCACCTACCACACCTGTGACCGTGGGTTGGAATCCTGGTTCACTCTGTATATGTTTATGTGACACCTGTGACCTACCTACCACACCTGTGACTGTGGGTTGGAATCCTGGTTCACTCTGTATATGTTTATGTGACACCTGTGACCGTGGGTTGGAATCCTGGTTCACTCTGTATATGTTTATGTGACACCTGTGACCTACCTACCACACCTGTGACTGTGGGTTGGAATCCTGGTTCATTCTGTATATGTTTATGTGACACCTGTGACCTACCTACCACACCTGTGACCGTGGGTTGGAATCCTGGTTCATTCTGTATATGTTTATGTGACACCTGTGACCTACCTACCACACCTGTGACCGTGGGTTGGAATCCTGGTTCACTCTGTATATGTTTATGTGACACCTGTGACCTACCTACCACACCTGTGACCTACCTACCACACCTGTGACCGTGGGTTGGAATCCTGGTTCATTCTGTATATGTTTATGTGACACCTGTGACCACCTACCACACCTGTGACCTACCTACCACACCTGTGACCTACCTACCACACCTGTGACCTACCTACCACACCTGTGACCGTGGGTTGGAATCCTGGTTCATTCTGTATATGTTTATGTGACACCTGTGACCTACCTACCACACCTGTGACCTACCTACCACACCTGTGACCGTGGGTTGGAATCCTGGTTCACTCTGTAAATGTTTATGTGACACCTGTGACCTACCTACCACACCTGTGACCGTGGGTTGGAATCCTGGTTCATTCTGTATATGTTTATGTGACACCTGTGACCACCTACCACACCTGTGACCGTGGGTTGGAATCCTGGTTCATTCTGTATATGTTTATGTGACACCTGTGACCTACCTACCACACCTGTGACCGTGGGTTGGAATCCTGGTTCACTCTGTATATGTTTATGTGACACCTGTGACCTACCTACCACACCTGTGACCTACCTACCACACCTGTGACCGTGGGTTGGAATCCTGGTTCATTCTGTATATGTTTATGTGACACCTGTGATCACCTACCACACCTGTGACTGTGGGTTGGAATCCTGGTTCACTCTGTATATGTTTATGTGACACCTGTGACCTACCTACCACACCTGTGACCGTGGGTTGGAATCCTGGTTCACTCTGTATATGTTTATGTGACACCTGTGACCGTGGGTTGGAATCCTGGTTCACTCTGTATATGTTTATGTGACACCTGTGACCGTGGGTTGGAATCCTGGTTCACTCTGTATATGTTTATGTGACACCTGTGACCGTGGGTTGGAATCCTGGTTCACTCTGTAAATGTTTATGTGACACCTGTGACCTACCTACCACACCTGTGACCGTGGGTTGGAATCCTGGTTCACTCTGTATATGTTTATGTGACACCTGTGACCTACCTACCACACCTGTGACTGTGGGTTGGAATCCTGGTTCACTCTTTATATGTTTATGTGACACCTGTGACCTACCTACCACACCTGTGACTGTGGGTTGGAATCCTGGTTCACTCTGTATATGTTTATGTGACACCTGTGACCTACCTACCACACCTGTGACCGTGGGTTGGAATCCTGGTTCACTCTGTATATGTTTATGTGACACCTGTGACCTACCTACCACACCTGTGACCGTGGGTTGGAATCCTGGTTCACTCTGTATATGTTTATGTGACACCTGTGACCTACCTACCACACCTGTGACCTACCTACCACACCTGTGACCGTGGGTTGGAATCCTGGTTCATTCTGTATATGTTTATGTGACACCTGTGATCACCTACCACACCTGTGACTGTGGGTTGGAATCCTGGTTCATTCTGTATATGTTTATGTGACACCTGTGACCTACCTACCACACCTGTGACTGTGGGTTGGAATCCTGGTTCATTCTGTATATGTTTATGTGACACCTGTGACCTACCTACCACACCTGTGACCGTGGGTTGGAATCCTGGTTCATTCTGTATATGTTTATGTGACACCTGTGACCGTGGGTTGGAATCCTGGTTCATTCTGTATATGTTTATGTGACACCTGTGACCTACCTACCACACCTGTGACCGTGGGTTGGAATCCTGGTTCATTCTGTATATGTTTATGTGACACCTGTGACCTACCTACCACACCTGTGACCACCTACCACACCTGTGACCGTGGGTTGGAATCCTGGTTCACTCTGTATATGTTTATGTGACACCTGTGACCGTGGGTTGGAATCCTGGTTCATTCTGTAAATGTTTATGTGACACCTGTGACCTACCTACCACACCTGTGACTGTGGGTTGGAATCCTGGTTCACTCTGTAAATGTTTATGTGACACCTGTGACCTACCTACCACACCTGTGACCGTGGGTTGGAATCCTGGTTCACTCTGTATATGTTTATGTGACACCTGTGACCACCTACCACACCTGTGACCTACCTACCACACCTGTGACCTACCTACCACACCTGTGACCGTGGGTTGGAATCCTGGTTCATTCTGTATATGTTTATGTGACACCTGTGACCTACCTACCACACCTGTGACCTACCTACCACACCTGTGACCGTGGGTTGGAATCCTGGTTCACTCTGTAAATGTTTATGTGACACCTGTGACCTACCTACCACACCTGTGACCGTGGGTTGGAATCCTGGTTCATTCTGTATATGTTTATGTGACACCTGTGACCACCTACCACACCTGTGACCGTGGGTTGGAATCCTGGTTCATTCTGTATATGTTTATGTGACACCTGTGACCTACCTACCACACCTGTGACTGTGGGTTGGAATCCTGGTTCACTCTGTATATGTTTATGTGACACCTGTGACCACCTACCACACCTGTGACCGTGGGTTGGAATCCTGGTTCATTCTGTATATGTTTATGTGACACCTGTGACCACCTACCACACCTGTGACCGTGGGTTGGAATCCTGGTTCATTCTGTATATGTTTATGTGACACCTGTGACCTACCTACCACACCTGTGACTGTGGGTTGGAATCCTGGTTCATTCTGTAAATGTTTATGTGACACCTGTGACCTACCTACCACACCTGTGACCGTGGGTTGGAATCCTGGTTCATTCTGTAAATGTTTATGTGACACCTGTGACCTACCTACCACACCTGTGACCGTGGGTTGGAATCCTGGTTCACTCTGTATATGTTCCTAGGTTTGTCAGCACCAAACCTGTGCCCGTGGTTTTCACCAACGTGATAAACATCACTTCATGTGTGACACCTGAAAAATAAAATCGCACAACTTTATGGATAACAACATCTTATTTATTGCATATAGCAGCTTTTCAATGTAGATTCTTAGACAGTTAACATCAAGAGTGACTACAACCAAGTGAAGAGAGGCATAAATGCATGATGTGTCGTGATAAGCAGATTGACATTAACCCTTTCGCCCCGACTGCCCGATTTATCGGGCAGCATAAACCGTGTCCCAGTACCCGGCTGCCCGAAAAATCGGGCGGCTATTGTCCAAGCCCCACACACGGCTGCCCGATAAATCGGGCGGCGCGACGGTGTTTACAAAATCGCTCTTTCAACTTCCTTTCTCGTGTGTAATCTCGTTCTAAATATGGAAACGAGATCTACACGTGATTGACACGTCATTCGATGGAATTTCCCAGTCTTTTTGGCGCGAAAATCGCGAATGTCACCTGTTTTCGCGACAGGTATTTTTCTCGCTTGAATCGTAAATCTAGCGTAATGGCGGCCAACTACGATTCGGATAGCGATCAGATGACTAACAACGACTCTATCGGGAATAATAATGTGTTTGATTTGAATAATTTACGTGAAGGGGAGAGGGAATTTCGTGAAGATTTTGGTGAAGATTTTGACGGTTTCGACGAGGTGTCCCCCCCCCCCCCGCCAACTTTCAAGAATGGGAGTGGCAGAGGGACCACAACGGTGGAGACATGAGGGATTTTGAAGAGGCGACCGGACTCAAGAATATATATTGACACGGTGAGTGAAATATCGTGCTATTGGTTTTTTCCAACTGTTTTACAATGATTCTGTGTTTGAACAGATTATCAGTGCGACGAATGAGAATGCAGCCTACAGGTGAACGAGCGATCACAACAACAACAAAGGTGAATGGCATGACGTATCTCTTTCTTTTTTTTAAAATTTAAGTTTCTGATCGCAATCCGAATTGTAGTTTGCCGGTTTGTCGTATGTCCTTATATTTCGCTCAATTTGAATAAAATTTATTTCCATATTCATGTTTGTTCTTGTTTTTTACATCTTAATTTAAATTTTAGTAACTGTAATGATTATTTATTTATTAATTGATGTAATAATGTACTGATTTAATTTATTATGCAATTGTAAATAACAGTGTATTGTAAATATGTTATCACAACTTGTATATTTGCAGAACTTGAATTTACGATCTTTCCGTCCTGTTACAATTTTTCCCTCCTTTCAGATCAATCTGTGATATCTTCTCTGTG